ATGAAATACTCTTGGAAATTATAAAACAAACAACTTTTCGTGATATTATTTCATCATGGTACAATTTAAACAGACGATTCAACTGTTTGATTAGGCAATTGCGTTCGTTTGACTTATCCTGTTTACCATATTCATATTATTGTAATTATTGTTGCTTATTAACCAACTATCAACATCAAGTTTTATCATTAACATTATCTAATATAGATACAAGCGAACAAATTTCACTATTTTTTACTAAATTTTCTGTAGAAAACTTTGTTAATTTACGGTCATTGTCACTCATTGCAGTAAGGGAAGTTGAATTAAACAAGTTGATCTTAAAATTATCGCATTTAAATCAGTTATCCTATTTGCTATTAGACTGTCATGCTTCACATTCTAATACATATGCGTTGAGTGATATTATTTCATCATCGTTACGCTCACTAACATTAAGCTGTTCTCGTACAATTCATTACAATTGGTTAAACGTCCGTCTCCTATGTCCAAGTTTAGAATACTTAACTGTAAGCTCATCGATTTATGTTGATCAACTTGTCTCTTTACTTTTATCTGTTCCACATTCTTTAAAATGTTTATCAGTTTATTTGAGCCAAAATTCGTGTTACTCTTATATACGATCGCACGATAATCTATCAGCGTTAAGTATCATTTCGAATATTGAAAAATTGAATATTTATTCAGACGAAAATGTTTCGTTTAGTGATGTTAAGTTAATAATAAAACAGTTCAAACAACTGACAAAGCTATCGTTGAAAATGAAGTCAGATCAGTTGTCTATTGAAATTAAAGATTCTGTAAATGGCTTTGAATGGGAAAAAATTATTTCAACATATTTACCTAATTTATGTACATTTCATTTATATATTGAAATAGATAGTTTATACATGGATGATAAAACGTTACAATCATTTAAAACTGATTTCTGGTTTCGACATCACTGGTAAGCATTTCTGACTGCTTTTTACAATAACTTAGTTTAGTTGGAACTAGACAAAACATACTTATTCACCCTTTTTTCATCGTTTTGCTGATGAGAGCCACATCTAACTGAAGGTAAATCTGAAGTTTCATCTACAAAAAGTGGCAGATCTAATCGACGAGGTGTGTGGAAAAAGTGTGGAAAGACGAATTGACGAATCGCAATTTTTAAGCGTAAAAATGATGCTATAATTCGCATTTTACGCTTATTTTGAGAATTCGTAGCGAATTGACGCGAACTGTATCGAATTCATACGGATACTCTTTAAAATTTTTACGGTTTCGTAAACATGCGAATAGATCAAACACGATGCTGATAAATTCGCAAATACTACGTAAAATTATTTTACGAATTAGTGTTCACTGCTTTTAGAACTAGATTAATTCATAATGTGAATTAGACGAATCTATCCGATGCGAAGAGACGAATCTATCTATTTTTAACCTCATAGAATAATTTCTTGTTCTTGACATCAGCTTGCATTCTACGAATCCGTGAAAATAACGCCGAATTGAGGTGAGAAGTGTACGAATTTACGAATTCGTATACGAATTCTTGGGAAGCAAAAAGATCATTTCACGAATTCGTGGATAGTCGACCAATTCGTTTTACGAATTCGTGGGTACCCGAAATTTCTTGCCTACGAATTCATCCCAGTTTACGAATCACAAGAGGAACAAAAGGGGCACCTTTTTGGTTATTTTTTCATCATTTTTGTTAATTCGCATCAATTCGCAGTGAATTACGAATTGGCAAAACGATGGTAAAATGCGAATTCTTGTATCAAATTTTATGCTCAAATATTGCGATCCGTCAATTCGTCTTTAGACACTTTGTCCACACTAATGAAGTTCACACAACTCACTATTAACTTTTTAGAAATAGAGTAAAGCCATGGGCACGAGCGTCGTCTCGCGAGTGGTAAAGATAGTTCACTATCGCAACAGAAATACGCTGCAAGGATTTAAAGGAGGAACTAGATCTTCGAAATTGCTGTGTACTCGCTTTGAATCCGTGTAAGTTCTTCTGTAGAAATGTCTTTTACCATTTTAGATAGATATTATGGAGTACTGTAGAATCGATGTAAACCTCAAAAAGTGATCGCATTATGTTCTCGAAGAAAAGTCCGAGTAAAACATGATACAACGATAGCCAGAGAGGTAATAATATCAAAAACTAATTCTAAATTTTTTATGAAAGAAAAATATACTTGATAACGTTTGATCCAGTTATAACAACAAATGGATTCACAATGCGTGCTTTTATCGTACGCTTCGCTTTAGCTTAGTAGTTTTGCTCTTAGGTAACAGAAAATGGCATTAATTTGTATAGTAGTCGATTAAAACTTCGCTGTTTTACCAAATTTGTCGTTCGTTCAGTTAAGAATAGGACAAATTGACAGTTATTACAATACGCAGCCTGTGTACCGGCTGAACGAACGACAAATTTGGTAAAACAGCGACGTTTTAATCGACTACTATACAAATTAATGCCATTTTCTGTTACCTAAGAGCAAAACTACTAAGCTAAAGCGAAGCATAAGATAAAAGTACGCATTGTGAATCCTTTTGTTGTTATAACTGGATGAAACGCCAAATAGTCCTGCGAAAAAACGTTTGTCTTTCTTCCAAAAAAGATCATTTTGAAGAGCGAAAGGGACAAAACAGAAACTTTCCTGAAAGCATGAAGATGATAACCATCCTCACAACGCCCCAGTAGATACGTCCCTGATCCTGAGTGTTTCGGGCCAGCTCTGATCAGATTTCCAGGATTTCATGAGGAATAAGCAATAAAGTTTGTATATCTGAATTGAAACTCATTGTTTACTTGTAAGAACTTATAAACACAGGTTACTTGGTATGTTCTACATAGTGACGTGTCAGCTGGGCATTTGGAACTTTGTGGTAGCTGTTGGGAGATCGAACTAAGAAAACTGCCCACAACCAGTCATATTTGTAAGAAAAATCGAGAGGAGGGTAACTTCGAGCCCTTCCGTTATAAGTTTTTTGACTTTTTTTATGAAAACAAACATTGCCGTTAACCCAAGTTCGATTTATTTGTACAATTTTCACATATCAGACGATGCCGCATCGAAATCGTGACGAACATAACAGATCAATTGAGCAGAGCATGGATACTTGTACTTTTCAAGTACAAAGTACTAATAGCTGTACTTTGGAAAAATACTTTGTACTGGGGTTAAAGATTAAAAATACGCATTAGCACTGAATCACAGATGTCACTCTTTTACAAAAACAGGGTTCATTTTTCCGAAACATGCAAAAACTGATTTCATCCGCAGAAAATAGAAAGAAAAACAAATATTTTCTATTGTATTTTGAATATTTTCAAAAAATTCATAAAACATACTTCCGTATAGAAAGAACATTTTACAAAAACTTAATGGAATTTACTTTATTTACTAGTAAATAAAGTAAAGTAAGTAAAGTAATTAAAAGCTCTTACTAATTTGTGATAAGACGACTCAAAAATGGTGACTTCATTTGTCGACTAAGTGCGCCACTTAATGTACATCTTTGTTGAGATACACAGAGACTTCTCTATTGGTCTATTCTTGCACGATCATTTCCTGTACCAAGGGATGATTATTTCGAAAAAAGTACTCAGACCATATCAAAACCAATTTTTTCCCGATTTTTTTCTCAGTTTTGTTGTCGTTATAAGAAACAATATTGTTTTTAATTAATTAATTCATTTTGTGTTTACTTAGAGCTACTTTTATTGAGCAATATACTTTTTGCAAACCATTGTCACGGTGAGAACATGCTAATGATTTATTCTTAAATCATGCTCACATACACTACTCATCTTAATTTGATTCCGTATGTATCTATCTCATTGTTGAAATTTTTTTTGGTGCACCAATTTAACTGAAATGTGAACATTGCTTGTTTACCTAATCTCAATCTAATTTCAATCATTTGTATACCCATGATTGATTTATCGCGATTGTTTTGCTCATAGCGGTAGAAGAAACGGTAAGATTGGTGGGCAAGCGAGAGCAAAGTGGATTCCTACTTTGAAAAATGAATTTCTCACCTACTGACTACTCTGAGAAAAAAATCCCATTTTGTATTCCACTTTGCTTTTGAAAATTCCTAATTTGTTTTTCTCGTAAAAAGAAGAAAATAACAAAAAATAACTCATCAGTCTATATGAAAAACATGTGCAGAAGAACTAATAAAATTTGTTCTCATATCGCTCTGATTGTTTACAGCTAGATGTTCAAAAATTAACATGAAGAATAAGAAATAAGAATAGGGAAAAAGAAGATTATCGAAATGCGTATATTTTACACTGAGACTTCTTTTGTTACACGCACTCTTTTAGCAAATCCTTTCTTTTAGATGGCTGGCGGTAAAAAAGATGCAGCAAATTTAAACATTAAGGGTTAAACATATTTTTCATCCATTTATTGTATTCCTCCTCTGAATACTCTTAGCTACGAGACAAGGCAATCAAGAATGATAATAGTAGTGGACTCCAACGGAGTGAATTACATTTATGTAAGTGAAAGCGCGAAGACTGCGGCTGTGAGACAGTAAAAAAGACTTTCTAAAAACATTTTGTTCCGACTTTATCCACTTCGTGTTTTAGAACAAACTAGAAAAGTTCACTTTGGTATTCAAAACAAAGAGGGAAGCCACATTGAGGAAAAACTTCGTAGTAAAAACACTGCATCCGACCTGCCTCTGTACAGGGCTCACTCAAATTTCTTGTAAACCAGTTGCTCAAAACGGATTTATTTATTCATTAGTTAATAGTAAAGCGTAAATACGTTGTACGATGTTTTCTCTACAATCCGCGTGAAACATGAGAGCCTAGAAACCATTTCACTCTTGCTCATAAATTTGACAGCAGTTAAATAAATATCAGCTGTTTGGGACAAAGATAACTTTGAAGAGTTGTTTTTGTAAAATATAAAATATGTGAACAAAGTAACAAATAACACGAATAATGAAAAGAAACTATTTTCAGATAAATATCTAAAAAAATGAACAATCGTGTTACATTGTCGGATGCTTTATCGAATGTTGAAGTGTTATATGAATTGCCATTAATTGACGCTCAACCGTGTATAGAATGTGCAAATAATGCTATGGTCTATGAAGCTAATTTTGACAGTAACTTCGAAGATAAAACAGCATTTGTTACCGGTATATCAAAATATATTGAAGAAGCTGTGCAACATGCAAGTTTGGTAAGTTTCAAGTCAATCACTCGTAGTTAAAGAAAACAGTAGATGAAGTCCCTGTGAGATGATGGTTAAAGCAAGGCACTAAGGAATTAATATTCGTATATACATTGTTTAAAACGGACGAATTAGATTGTGGGAACAATGGATAGCACTCGGTCGTACACCATATTAAGAAAGATAAACACCGTGAAAAAATCAAGGAATTGAAAGAAAATACCACATTTGTTTCTTCAACATAATGGTTCATCCAACGAGACTTTCAGTTTTCGAGATCAAGTGACTGAAGCTGAAATATTATGGGCTATTAATTCTGTGCAGCATAGCGATGCTATTTGAATACTCAGATATCTTTCTGTGTGAAACTAGAATAAATCTTTTTTGCTATGTTTTTCTCCGTTTTCTACGTATGAAACACTGAAAAAAAATACTTTAAGTGGGATGAAATCATTTCTTTGATAGGCATAAGCCACTTTAATATATACAAAACACTGTCAGTACCGTTTTTTGGCCAAAAAGACTCCTTAAAAACCTGTTGACGTTCCTCTTTTTTTTCACTCTTTTCTGAAGGGACCATTACGAAAGCAGGTTTTGCGGAATATTTCATTTTCTCACTAAATTACATGTTTTTATTTAGAATCTTTTGTTAGAACAAGGATATAAACATGCAATGACGTTGTATACTTGGCGATGTTGCAGTAGAGCAATTCCACAGGTAATAGTTTTTAGCTGAAGAGGCAAGTGTCATTTAACTTATTTTTCTATTTAAAGACGAGAGAGAATATATTAAGTTAAAAAATAAATGAGTAAGTTCTACGCATGAAGACAGATGCTGCTATTTGATCCGCTTATTATTTTCACATAAGTGTTGGCTTTACAAAAATTTTTAATTTGGTAATTGGATCATCGAGTTTTATTTAGGCACTGAATCTTTCTCCCTCCGCTTCTCTACCTATTTGAGCTCTAAATACCGAGTGTGGTATAAAAAATAATCCTCTCAGTATTTCGATTGTAACTGTTTTTCTTCTCAACTTTTAGACCTGATTGTTTTTCCAAAAGCTGCACTGTCAAATTCTCTACAAGACGTGTGTTAAATATCTTCTGTAGTTAGTTACCGAAAAGAACTGAACAAAGAAAACACAATACGTATAAGAGGACCGACTTTCCAAGCCCCAAAACCGTTTTATCAGAGTTTTTTCAATAGCTGGTAACGAGAAAAATAAAATAATATAAGCATTTTGTAGTCCTTGAAAAGCTCTATCGACTAGTAATAAGTGACAGCATTTTATGTCAATCTTTGAGC